AAACAGACATCATCGTTTTTATCCACTTCTTCTTGTAAGAAAATGAACAGAGACCCAAGAAATATTTATCCAATGATTTATCTGCAGAGCATATCAGGCATTAAGAGAGGATGCACAGTTCACAGGAACCACTTGAGCTGAGCTGCTGTCTTTTAAAAATAAGGCTTGATATTATTTCGACGTATCCTTAATTTTGTTTATATATTTAGTTTTAGTGTCTTTTTGTTTGTGACATGCAGGCAGTTAAACTATTTGGGGTTCATCTTTTATATTTTGAAGTCATTCATTCAAACAGTTGGAACGAAGAGGTCGCTGGATATCGTTCTCCTTTCTGCAGGAGGCAGCATTTACCTCGTGTGAGAATTCCATTTATTAAAAGAATTCTGCTGCTGTCCTGCCCGGTTTGTTAGGAACCATCTCAGCAGAGAAATTTTAATGGAGTGCCAGTGATATATTCCTAAACTAGCAAGTTCTTAACGACCCTGGAAAGTGACTGCTTGATTACACTTTAACGGTATTTGCAAATAAAATCACAAGTAATTAAGGGGAAATCTCCAGGCTTTTGAGCAAGTTTGATGCATGATAACTGCCTGATTCAGCTTCATCTAGAGTAATGCTGTGTAGACAAGAGCTACTGAGATCAATAGCAACATAATGATAGTGGCAGAATTAAGTGAGTAACCTGAGAACTGTGTCTTCAAAATGCATGCAGCTGCCACAAGCCAGGGCCACACAGTGCACTCCGTGCTTCCGTCCTAAATGTTCATCAAAAGACGCCCTGCAGGAAAATGGAGTTAGATGCTCTTTATTGCTGATCGTGTCTCTTGCCACATTTATCAGGGAAATTGGATTAGCAGTTGGCAGCTGCAGGTAGACAAGGTTCTGCAGTGATTAAATATGCAGCTTGGCTGCATTTGTTGTGACAGACCTTTAGTAAATTCTACTGTAAGCACCATCTGTCTAATTTGTATAAAGAAAACTTGGTGCTTTAAGCTACTGATAAAGGACTAAATCTGTTGCTTTATCATAAACAAAACTTTTGCTCTAAATTCTCTTAAATGTAATTTATTGGGTTAAAGCTATTTTTCTATCACGATGGATAAATAATACATGCAAAAGTGCTTTCAGGTACTTCATTTCCCAAGTACTGAGAACAAAAACAGTTCAGTTCTTCAATAAAATGCTTAGTATTCCACTCCACAGGGAGATGACACTGTTAAAATATCACTATGAAAATGGTCCAGGACTGCCAAATTCATTTAATTTGTGGTTTTTACTAGGACTTTCTAACTGGCTAGGGTTTTTGTTTAGTACTTCTGAACTGCACCATTGAAAAGCAGTCACAGTACGGGAGCTCTTTCTTTTTAAGATACATTTGTAATCGTTCAGGCTGCACGCAGAACATATGTTTAGGTTTCTGTTCTGGTGAGATCAAACGTAATTGAAGATGGCTTAAATGATTGTGCGTCGCTTTTTTTCCTCTCCTAGTTCCTTCTTCCCGTTCTGGTATTGATACAAAAGAAGTCCAACATTAAAACAGAGGTGATTTTCCCCTAAGAATTTTGGGGTTTCTCGTGCCAACCCGGTGAGGTCATGCACTGACCGGGCAGCCCGAATCTCAGGCGTACTTTGTTTAGAGCTGTGACATCATCAGGTTTGATAGAAATGGGTGAAAAAAAAACATCTGAGGAAAAAGCAGTTAAATAGCAACATGCTATCTTTAGCCGGTTTGTAGAAACTCCATGCTGTTAAATTATTTAAAATCCTTGATTTTCAGCTTGCACACATTAAAAGTTTTCACACTAAGTGCCAAATGTTGCAAACAGCACTTTAACAGAATGATTTTGCTTTGATCCCTGTAGCAGTTCCTGAATAATTTATCACAGGTTATTGCCTTAATTCTGGAGAGGGATAGAGCAATAAAGGCAGATGAAAACACTCCAGTTGAAACACCTTGGGGCCTGCTCATTCCTCTGACACGGCTCTTTTGTTGGAACTATTTAGAGGTTATTAAGACGTGTCTCCAGAATTAAGAGTATGCTGTAAGGATGAAGACAGCCATCTTAATTCTAAAGACAAAGCGCAATGACCCTTCACCTTTTTTTTTCCTTTGTTGTTATTATATAGTAGAATTATGAGGGTAATATTATAGCTGCACCCAGTAGTGCCACTATGGTTAAGGGTCTGTCAGACTTTCCATTACAAACCCTGTTTTGGGGGTGGGTGCCGTGAGGAATCTCATCCCTGCTCAATTGCTGAAGTCAGGCACTGGGCACACGCTGGCACGTCAGGGTGGTTGCTCTGAAAGCATTTACACGTTCATTTCTTTTCTTTTAAAAGCCTGCTGAAGGGGCTCAGCCGGGACTTTGAACCAAAACGCTGCAGTTGTAAAAACTGGTTTGATTTAATGCTCGAGGAAGAATATTTTAAAACTGAAATTTGATCAAAATTGTTTTGTTAGTAGGAAAATCAGTGTGCAAGTCTGCGTACCGCTGACGAGATCTGTTCACTGTGTGTCTTGTATTTGTTGTAGTTTGCTTCTCATCTTACTCGTGTTGCAGCTACCAGTGCTGCTATCTGCTCTCCCTTTGCCTCAGAAGCGGCTGGTTGTAGTTGGGATGAAGCAGTGTCTTCATGTGCCATTCAGATTGCTCTGTTAAGCTTGCAAGGCACTTTCAATCCCCTGAGATGACAGCCTGAAAGGAGACGTATCAGTGTTGCTGTTTGCCTCTAATAAGTTTTGTGCACGTGGATGCTATTTGAAAAATCATAGCAGACCAGTAAATGTGAAAAACCTAAATGTGTTGGGAATTGGATGGTTTTGGTGAGGTCCTGGCCTGGTTTTCATTGTTGTTGGTTTGGTTTTTTTTGCTAATGTGACTTCAGCATCTATGGAATCTGGAGTGGTTTTTGCTCCAACTGAAGTTTCAAGATACTTGTTAGCAGCAACATAAATGGAGCAGGATTTATCTTGGGATTCTGTAGCACTGCATACAGGCTGCTCAAATCCTCAGCTGTCAGAGGTCCTTTTTTATTGAGTTCTGATTCAGAGCATCTAAACTAAACCACTGAGTACTCTGGAATTGTATGGGACAAGAGCATTAACTATTGTGCTGCTTTCTAGATTGAGGCAATTTATCAAGAATTATATTAATTATATATATATATATATTATTATATATATAATTAATTGTAATATTATAATTAATGGTGTGGGCCTCTTAATACCGATATCGATGCTGAAAGCAGAGTAGGCATGTTATGGAGATACACTGGGTTGGTTGCATTCATCTAGGCCATGTTCTAGAGACCGCAGTAAGACAGCGAGTTCAACGTCAAGCAAAGGCCAGTCCGTGTCTTTCTAGGGGCTGCAGCTCTCCTTCTTCCTTGCATCAGCCTTTACTTCGTGCAGTATTCCGTACCACATTTTATTTTATTTTATTGTGCTAGTATGGGCAAGAGAACCCAAATCATTCTGGGAGATTTCCACCTCCTCATGTATTGTTGCGTCTTTGTATCCCTTTGGATAGAAGTGTAAAGCATTGCTGGCTTGTTCTTTTCATTCTTTATGGTTTGGCTGCCATGTCTGCCACAGAGTTACTTTCTGTGCGGGCAAAACAGTGCACAAAGTATGAAAATGCAGATAAATATAAGGATAAAGTTATGATTTTATGTCATATCTTCTCGGTATTGAACACTTCCTCTCTAGTGATTTCAGAGTCCCATTAAAGTTAATGAGAGTTGAGACCTCTGAGCATCTTGAAAGTTCAGGCCATTAGAATGCACAACAGAAGGGAAGTGCAAATATTAAAATACTCCTAGCAACCTCACCGCTGTTTCAGAGAGGACTCAATTTATCCTCAGATAAATCTACGTGTATGGCATCCAAGTCAATTGGACTAATGTGTCTGCATAGGAAAAGTAGAAACTAGCCCTTGTGTAAGATTACGTGCAGCAGTTTAACAAGGCATCAGCCGTAATTTGCTCTTTGTGTAATCAATTAGAATTAACACGTGAATTTTACCTTCTACATTTCTCAACTCTGTCAATATTACGGTATTATCATTGAGTGCAGTTTTGAAAACTCTCTTTGAAAAGAGAACTCCTGGCTGTTTTGTTGCTGTGCTTCTGTGATCTTTTAACCAGGCTCTGCAGAGCTGTGGGCTTCATAATGGAAAAAAGAAATCCCTATAAACCCCACCTGCCACGCATGGATTGCATTTATTAGTACTAATTCACTATCAAAAAAGAATATCTGTTTAACTCCAGTCAAAAAAATGTGCTTATGTTGTGAAAATACTTTTCATTTGCAAACGTTTTTTGGTATTTCTATTAATTATCGTGGAAAAACCCTTTTAATAGGGGCTAATTATTTACATGTAGTTTTGTCTGCCTTTGAGCTGAAAAGGTTCTGACGCCACTATTCATTAAAGGGAAAAAAATCTCAGAATTAATGTTAATATGGATAGAGATTGACTTGGCCCCTGTAAATAAACATCAGTACTTCTTGAAGAAGCCTATTTTGGAAAATGACTTTAAAAAAAAAAAAAGTTAAAATAACAGTGCAATGAGAATCTCAGTATAACCTTAAATGCAGCTCGTTATGACTACTAATTAGTCTTAGACCTCATTTTAAAATATTACAGGCTTAAATTAACATTTTATTGTTATTGCTACTTTAAATATATTAATACAGGAAGTACTTTTAAACTTAATGCACTGTATTGGAGCATTGTTTTAATTTGCATTATTCATTAGTATGGTATATTGAATAATCCAAAGCATTTTCTGAGCATTGTGCGAATGTTCTCACTGTCAAAGTTGTGGAAATCTTGTTTGTTGAAAGAGCCTTAGTGTTTTTTATTTTAAAAAAAGTATTTGAGCAAGGCATTTAAACTAAAGAATCAAAATCAGATATGTGGTCATTATTGGCTGATTATTACTCCATCTGCTCTGTGCTAACGTGAAAATCAATTACTGTGTCTCCTTCCCACTGACAGCGTATGTTGATCGGGCTGGCAAGAGATCTTCGAGGGATTGCCTTTGCACTAAACACAAAGACCAGCTACACCATGCTGTTTGACTGGATGTATCCTTATTACACTATGACAATACCAGCTCTGTGCACAGAGGGATACCAGGCCCCTTGCATTAGTTTAATAGTATGGCACAGTGGGGAAGAGGAAACAAAGCTAAATGAACTAATGTGTAATCAGCTAAAATTACAGCACAATGGCAACCATGCAGTTAACTGGGAAAGACCACAGAGAGGTCACTTTTTTTGTTGTGTCACACTCCTAATCTGGAAAACACATCCAAATGGTTTCTGTCCCTGCTTAAATCCATGATGTTTTTGTAAAGAGAAGGCTGTGTCTTAAAGCACAACGTACCTGTGATTGTTTTAACATCAGAAGTGCTTTAAAAAAAATCCTGTACAAGTGCAATCTGGGGGGATTTCTCTCTGGTATGAATCATGTCTTTAATTTAGTCAGTTACTGTCTATTTATGTCAACTCTATTAATATCACAACACCTGCAGTCTTCCTGATCAGAAGAAAATGGACTTCTGAAACCAAAATCCGAATGTTTAGGCTGCAGCTTTCTTGGATAAATGATGATAATGCAGCTCTGTTTGCTTTCAGTATTGTACGTGTCTTTGTACCAACAAATATGGTAATTCTCGTGGGTATTTCCCAAGTACTTAGAGAAATGTTTTGTATTTCCATAAATACGAAGGCGTAATTCTTTGTAGGCACAGTCATATTAGAAAAAAAATACTGCAAAATGTAGTGAAGCAACTGCAGCTATTGGCTTTATAATTTAGATCTCAAAGCTGTGGAAGTTAATTATGTTTATTCTATGAACAGAAAAAATAATGTGCAAGTATAGCTGCATGTTTTATTAGAAACGTTTCAGTTAAATAATGAACATTTTCTGTTTGCTAATCTTTTTTTCTTTTTTTTTTTCTTTCTTTTCTTTTTTTTTTATCAAAAAAGAGTGCATTCTGAGAAATGGTGACTAGGACATCATCCTGAAAGGGTGACAGGGCTGTAGAACTGAGCCTGATACGATCTGATAAACATCCTTGTATAGTGGGCAGAAGGATTGTGATGACCATTCAGATAAGCCCTATTTAAGACCTTAACAAGCCAGCAATGATTCTGTCCATGTGCAGGCTCTGCTTGCATCACGCAGCTTGCAGAAAGAAAAAAATCCAAAACAGAAGGCAATATAATCTTTTTTTTTTTTTCCTTTAAAATCAATGGAAAGCATCACTTAATTTCAGATTTAGAGAACTGGAGGAAAAAAAAAAACAACAAACTACTGAAGCCAGTCTGTGAATTAGCATCTCATTTTCTAGTGAGCACCATTGGGGTACGTTTAACTTCATTAGTACTGCTTGTGCTTATGTTACTCTAAAACATAATAATATAGTCTGGAGGATGTGTAAAAGTAGATCAGTATTGTTTCTATTCCAGACTCATTTTACTTTGTTTTTCCTGGTACAGCACAAGTTTCACAGAGCTCTGTGCTAAACTGGAGAGCTCCAGCTATTAAGAGAGGGAGAGGAGAGACTTACCTCCTCTGCATTTGAAAGAAATGGATTCATCCATGGAGGAAGGTTTTTTTTCTGCAAGGATTCAGGATACGTAACCCTCAGGATCCTTTCCTGTAGGAATTAAAAATACATGTATTAATTTCCTTTTATAAATTAAGTTCATTTCAGATAAACAAAACCAGCCTTAAACTTTTGGATTTCATGAATCTATATTAAGAGTACAGATAGACTAAAATGAGTCTTTGTGGCATTTGAAGCTTCAGCTTTCCCAGGTACCTTTCCCTTCAGAATATCTTTCCTTACCACCTCTGGCCATAGGGACAGCTGTGTGCTTCTGAGCAGTGGCTTTCACCTCGGCTGGGTCCAGTTTCATCCAGGTGTGGATCCAAAGCATTATAGCAGAATAAGTTGCTGTTATCTCAGCTCCTCTGTGCTGTAAAAGCAGCAGAAAGAGAAACTGCAAAGAGGAGGGAGGGTCAGCATCTGATCGTGTCGTGTTGTGTTTAAGTATCTTTTGATTACTATATTTCTTGTTTCAAATATCGTGTCAGGAAATTTAAAATTGCCTTAAATTCTAAAGGCAAGCTGTTTTTCAAAACAGATTTTAATTCTGTACTATTTGAAACTTTAGTCTTTTAATATTAAAAACTGCCGATACAGGATATTATGCACAATGCGTTTTATTCACTTGCATTTGTTCAGTCAGTAAATAATAAGGATAGGCAGGAAATAAGAGTGTGAGCTTTTAATGCTGTGAGATCATTCTGTACTGAAGAAGCACAGAAGCAGTTGTTTATGAATCACTGACAGCAGAATTTTCCAAGGAAATATTTTGGGTCTAATCCCTCTGATACCAATGAATTACTCGTAGTGTTTGCTCGGGTGAGAGATTCCTCTCTTTTTTTTTTAATGATCCAAGCATTTAGGATTTACCTTCTGTCCAGTAGATGGCAAAAATGAGCAAAAATAATTCCTTTCAAGTTCTTTCAGTCTCAAAAGGCGGGGAGGGGGGATGCCACCCCTGTATCCTCTATTTTACCATTATGATAGAGTTATTAGGATCGTGCTTTAGAGGTGAATCGTCAGGTATGCTCAAGCTGCACTTGGTTGCCAAGTAGGGCTGTTATGTAGCAGGCTTGCTTATACTAATTGAGTTTCTGTAGCAAATCAGGCTTCTTGGAAAAAGGCCAAAGGCTTTTCATAATTGTATTGACAAGAAAATGAATATGATAAATGGTGTTCATTCAGCTGAGACAAGATTTATAGTTTTCCTCTGGCAAGGGACAAAGAGAAAATACTTACAATAAAAGTAAAATTTGTTTTAAAGTTGTGTAGGTGATCTCAAACAAAAACTGGATTAAAGTATTTCAAAATATTTTAAGCAGTTGTAGGTGTTGTGTGTAGCACCTTCCTGAAGAATGCCAGTAATGAAAGGTCACAGAACCACAGAATGGCTTATGCTGGAAGAGACAGCAAGCTCCAGTGCCTGCTGTGGGCAGGGCTGTCCCCAGTAGATCAGGCTGCCCAGGAGATGAAGGAAAACATCACACAAACCAGCAAAGAGAATAAAAAAACCTGGATATGAAAGTCATTTGTTCTTCCCCAAACACTGATATGTCAAGCTGTCAGTGATTCCAGTACCACAGCTTGGAAAGTTCTTGTCTTTTGTAATTGCAACACGTGGGTGCTGTAATTTGTAGGCCAGTCTTGAACTTGAATGTACAGCCGTTCTGGCCTCAAGAAATGAAAATAATCAAAGTCTGGTTTTCTTAATGGTTATGATGATTGTCTTTGTGTATTTCATTCTGTTTCTTGCTTTAAGACTGCCTGGATGAGATTCTGAATGTTTGATGTGTTTCTTCCTGCTGATATGAGATTGCAGTCTCAGGTCCTTGGTCCTGCAGTCCGATAAATCCATGGCGATTTGGTTCTGAGTTGAGGGCGATATCCACATTTCTGTACTTCCAGTCAGTATTTCTTACAGTTAGGTGGTAACTTAGAGGCAGTCTTGCTCTGTTCCTCCCAGTTGATTCTCAGTATTTTATGACTTCTGATGCCTGTAAAAGAAAAAGGTTGCAAGAATTAGGCTACTGGGTTGAGTCAGAGTTGCAGTGTGCTGGATAGCACAGGGTGTATGTGCATGAGCACATGAAATTGTTGAGAATTGTTCTGATAAAGATGGAGACATCTATACAGAGAGAGACACGTAGCAGTGAAGGTGATGGAAATGATCTGCCCTGGAGGAGTTTCACCTAGGAGTCCTTTAGGGGTTGTGGTTGACCTTGGATGAGGTATGCTTCTTTAGGTCTCTTTTTCAAATCTTTTTACCAAATTGTTATTGTTACATATCTATCCAAATCTGTTTGATGTTTTTTAACAAAATAAAAGCATTTACAGCCCAAAGTTGGCCTCTTCAAAAGTTTTTTTTTAAAGAACTGAAATTTTAGGTTTAAATGTTTTAAGGATTCAGAATTTGAAGGAGACCACTAAACTACTGTAGAGATGAAGGTTTTCTAAACACATTTTCCCATAAAACAAGGCTATACACAATCAGTAACGTGTGTGTAATAGGAGCTACTGCCAATTGCATTGATTGAAACCTTAGCGTTATTCCTTGCAGTTTGCATTCTTTTCAGCTTGAACAATAAAGCTGGTAAGGTTACATTTGTGAATTAGCCGGATTCCTTGAAGTTTGTGGTTAAAATACTTAAAAGTACCGTTGTCTTTAAAACTAATTTCTTCTACTTCATTGTTGTTGTTTGTTGTTTTTTAATAGCAAATTGCTGAAGCCTTTCTGTTGACCCTTGCACTTACAAAATGCACCTATGGTTTCCAGACTTTCCTTGACAATTAATGTGAGCTTAATGCTTGAGCTTGTGAATTGGGATAGTTAATCATATTGGATGTGTTAGCAGCCTGTGATAAATACTGCTCGCTCATCTTTTCGTTGTAGGATTTGGCTGTCAGGTTACTTTGCTTTCTGTTTCCTACCCCACAAAATTCCAAAATGGGGATTCGCAGCCTTTTACCACCTTCCCTTTTGTGGATGTGGGCAGGCTGAAGAGGAAGTTTGGCTTTGGAGATGAGTCACTCAGTTCAGTCTGTACCCCGTGTAACGCTGCTCTGTTTCGAGTATATTCACCATCCTGTCATAGAGAGTGAGCGCTGTAAGTCCATCACAGGAAACAGTGGAAATGGCTTTCGTGACATTACAAAGCTGAGAGGTGATGTGGGCCATCTGTGCCCTCTGAGAATATTTTAGGCAAATAGGATTTGGATTTAAATCCATATTACTAAGTAATTCTCCTTGGTACGTTTAGCTCCAGTTTGACTTAAGATGTAAAGAACCCTCTAAAGGGCAGCAAGGGTATATTCCACATCACCTTCTTCTGCTGTATAGAGATTGTGCCTACAGTGCCTCGAGCAGCTGGCAGCAAAAAGGCACCAGTCTTTAGGAGCCTCAGACAGACAGCAGCAGCCAGAATGCCTTCCATCTGTCTGCACAGTGCTGTCGTTCATCAGCTGTTCATCATGTGTGACGGCTTGGCCTGCTCCAGGAGAGCTGAGACATGACTGTGTCTACATATCCAGGAAGCATGTCAACCTTCATGCGTTTCAGGCTTGTATTTCATGATCCAGCATTGGGTGCTTGGCCTGTATGCAACTTTGTAAGATTCACAGTGGTTGCCTTCATGGTCTGAATAGGCAGTAGCGTTTTCCTAAGAGCAGTCACTATTTCTAGTGGCATTAAATAAAGCAGAATTATATGACATGAAACGAAGTTAAAAGAAAAATAAGTTTAATATTAAATAAAGTCATTAACTCTGTTGGCTAGATCGTATCTTGATAGCGAATTGCATAGTTAAGTTCTCTTGGTTCAGTATCATAAAAGCTGTTTAATTCTTTACCAGTGGAGTTGTGCTACCTCCCTTGTATTTACAGGCCTGCATTCCTATCCGAACAAACTCTTCTTTTCAGCAAGTTGGGAAAAGTAAGGGTCAGCTGTGCATCAAATAATTGCATCCAATGTTTGGATACAAGCAGTAACTCGTTGTATTTTTGAGTTACATTGCAGAATCTACTAACCTTCCTTTCTTCTGTATTGCATTCTTTCCAAGCCTCTGTTAAAAGAACCAATACCTCTTGGGTACCGATGAGCAAACTTTTGGGGCAGCTCCTCACTGATCTCCGCACAATTTGTCTGAGTTCTTTTCTTGAATACTCTGGAAACAAGCAGCGCACAATGTGATTATTCCCAACCATCTGAGAGCAAATCCAATATATATGAGGTGGCGCTGAAACTGTGGCCCCTGGGATTTGCTAATTTGTAAATCTTATTCTAGAGAGTAGGTCAAGTCTAGATATACAGGTAGCATGGACAGATATTCTCCCTGTCAGAATGAGGTGCATCTGCCCCCCTCCCCCCCCACTTGATGGTGTGCTCTGGATAGGGGGAAGTTTTGTAGGATGTCCCTTTGTCAGTACAATCTTTAACTAATTTTGATGAAGATACCCTACATACATTTCTGTTCTGCCAAAAGCTATTGAACTGTGGTACCAGGAAACTGCATGTGCAGCACCGATATTGAAACTGATGGCAGAATTCATGCAAACAGGTAAGAATCACGTGGAAATTAGCTAAGTGATGAATATTGCAGTGGTGTGCATTCTGTCTTTCAGGCTTTGTCTTTAGCATTGCTACTTCTGTAGATTTGGGAACAACATTCACAAACAAAATTCAGCTTTCAGCGTTGTCGTTTTACCATCAGGAACATGCAAGAACCTGCTGCAATTTTATATTAAAAGGTAGTGCCAATAGTATGCTTTAACTAGAGATAAATATTGACTTCATAATTAAATATCTGAAAATAGTCTCCTGTCAAGGTTTGCTGCAAGCTGTCGTTGCCTTAAGCCAAGCAGTGTGCCTATGTGCCTCTCAAACTGCAGCTCCCTGACAGTTGTTTGTTTGTTTTTTTTTTCCTTAGTTCAAAATAGGAAAGAATATTATCCAACACAACATTAGTTATAATCAGCTTGTAAGTAGCTGGTCCCCCAACTAAATTCTTCTTTATGGGCTCCCTGAAAAGGCCGCAGAACAATTCTAGTAGCTGATGTCAACACTTCACATTGCAGGTGTTAGAATGAAGTTTCTCTTTTACCGCTGGTAACAGAACAATTTATTTTGGGGATGTTTCAGATGGAAATATTTAGTGTATTGCCCAAAGGAAAAAATGAATTTGAAATGAGAAATGGATAGTTAGTGTCTCTGTGCTGGTTATCTTCGTGACCAAAGTGATTGGGGTTCTCAGCAGAACAGGGTTTGTTCACATTGCTTTTTATCCAGCCTTGCAAGTCAGTCGTACGGGGAGAAAAGGTGCAATATTTCAAGTTTGAAGAAATACTTGTTGGAATGGAGTGGCAGGAAGGTGGTGCCTGAAATTGGTGAAGCGTGATGTGTGCTGGGGGCCTGCATGGCTGCACGGCCTAGAGGAGAGCTGCTGTGTGTGCGGACTGCCTTGCCTTGGCTTCCTCTTTGGTTTGTGTGGGTAAATTATGCCTTTTATCCCAGTTGGGTTGTAGTCAAGGCTGGACAAGTTTAACCTATTCTTACTGACAGTGCCGTGCGCAAGCAGTGCACTCTAACAGTGCTGCAACTCGTTCCAAGGAGAGACTGTTAAAACATAAACACAGCACTCTAATAATAGCAAACTGAAGCAAAGAGGAACTGGAACAATAAATCTTATGCAAAAAATGACTACTTTCCATATTCATGTTGTTTTTCTGTCTATTGGTATTCAGAAGATCTGCCTTGTTCCCTTTAGAAAACATCATCTGGGATGGAGGTTTTCATGAGTTGTGTAGTGCATTAGTTTTTACAGGTTAGAATGCATTATACAATATACTTTGACATGGTTAAAACGTGTTACAGAGTATCAGATTTTGCATTATGCCACTCAGACATTGAGAAGATGTGCTCTTTTTGTTCTTGCCTCTGTGAGCCATTATCATGTTGAGCATGTGGAATCCGCAAATGTTTTGCGTGCGGCACGTTTTGTTTATTGGTAAATACTCAGACTTACTCCATAATTTGAAGCAATGGGCGCTGCTTCAAGGGGCTCAGAAAACAAAAAGTTGGACTTAGAGCAGTGAAAGACAGCGACTGCTGTCTCTGTGACAGGGGTCTTACAATCCACATACCACCAAAAGCAGACTAACAAATGGGTCAGCCAGGGGTGCTCTGTGTTACATCTCACAGTGATAGCTCCTTTCCTGCTCAGGACAAACCAGCACTAAAGGTAAGGTTTTTGCTAAAGTTACTCAGAAACTTAAGATCTGTGTTGAAAATCAATTTGTAAGTTCTAAATGGCTCTCACTTAGGCATAAACTGGAAGTTAAAATTCTGTATCACAGAGAGAATAGACAAATACAGCAGAGACTTTGGCAATAACTCTGCTGCGTTTCCAACTTGGGGACCAAATGGTTTGTGTTGGCTGTGCTAAAGTGTTTGCATCAGGAGAGAAAGCGTGGTTCCATCTTCTTAAGGTCTGACTGTTCATAGAATGCATGTGTTGCAATTTACACTCACAGAACTGGCTTTTGATTGCCATGAATTTTATGTGACAGAATAACCTGTGGGGATTGGCTGATTTTAGGAACAAGCAAGAGTAAAAGTTATCCCAACTAGTTGGACTGTGGGAACTCTGTGTCGGTCTTCTGAGCTGTATGCAGGCACAAGGTGCTCACAGGTCACCATGAAGGGAAGTATGTGTTGTCTTGTCACCATTTCTAGTTAAAATTGTTTCCTCTTTTGTCACCACTGTGTCTTAAGCAACCATATTTAGATAACTAGAGTCACGTCATTGGAGTGAAAGCTAGAATTTATTGAGTAAATGTACTGTGTGATCAGCAAATACATTTTCTCTGTTTTATGGAATGAGTCCTTTGCAGTTTTCTGTTTTGATGACCATCTGAGCACTTTTACTGTTATTTTTTTCAGGTCACGACGTTTAAATTTTGATGGATCATCTCCAAATGGAATTCTTCTCTTCAGAGGAGCTATTGAAATGATTTGTACATACAATAGGTATTCATTAAAATTTCCTCTGCAGTGTCATTCTTCGCCTGTCTCGTGCTACAGAAATCCTGTTAGTTCCTATCCCTGGCCACTGCTGAGTTTTACAAAACAAAGCAGGACTGCCATGTACTACCACCCATCTCAGCCCTTTGTGGGCTGCAGAGCTTACTGCAGACCTTTGGAGCTCCTTTCTTTCACAGATGGGGATGCGTTCATGTAGCACTGTTGCTTGTATCACTCCAACAACTCTTTTAGCAGCTGTAAATGGATTTCAGCAAAGATACGAATACTCGTGAGGTGTTTGATCTCGGCTACTGATTGATAGGTGTGGGTTGATTTTATATATTCAAATTATATTCCAGCAGCTCCAAGACATAATAGGACCATAACAGCTTCACCCTAGAGCACTGTTACAACTGTTCATAATAAGTTGCTTCATTTTACTGTTCCCACTCAGGTATTCAGTTGCAACAGGTCTGTGACACCGACTGTTCATAATAGACTCCAGCTAACTTTGTAGCTTAAAATTTCACTTCCTAAATATTTTGAAAGGAACATTACCAATAGTTTTGCAGATTTGTGATTTGTGTACGAGGAAATAGCCATAAATGTCCTGCTACTTTTCAAGAGAGAAAACTGGTACATCAAATATGCTTTCAATGCATTCGGGCTGCATTTTAGGTCTGGAAATTGTGTTTGTTACGTGGCTGCTTGTAAAAAAAACCCTTTGGGTGTAATCTGCTTTTGAACTGCAGGGTATGGGAACGGTATATGCAGAATGCATTTATGTAGGACAGAAGAAAATTATCCTTCTAACTCTCACTCCTTGCCAAAACATTTCTCTGTTTTCTTTTTCAAAGACACCACATTCTAAGCTGGCACAAACCTTTTAGCTATATCCTGAGGTGCATTTGTGACACTGATTAAAACAAAAAAAAAGGTTTTCCTTGTATGGGAAGAAAGAGGTAAACTTTCCGACTTTACTATAAAGTTTCTATTAGCTTTATACATAGTTCGCATTTAATGACTGGAAAATTTCTTTTGATGATATAAAGAAATGCAAATGTAATCTTGAGCTTCAAGCTCGCTTGTCCTGCAGTACTGGACCCCACTGCCATTACATTTCCTTTTAATTGCAATCAGCCTTTACCATCATTTCTGCTCTTATTGAAACGATACCTACTGATTGTTATCTTAGCAGTGGGCCTCCAGTCTGTGATCCTTGCTTTGTCAGCCACACAGCCCCAGTCTTCTTCATTCTTAACTCAGGTCTACAAAATGTTCTATTAAGAAACCTTCTGCTTTCAAATGCAAAACGTGTGTTTGTGGGTATGTGTGTGTGAAATTCATGAAGTTCTCAGTGAAGGATTGTTAGTTCTTGTGCACAGGGACCAGACAGCATCTTTTGGCTCATGCTAGGATTTAATTAGACATTGTATAAGGAAATTTCAGGACAGTGCAGATTTAAGATGTAAATGAAGCAGTGGAGCCACAGCATGTGCTGAAGGCTGTGTCCAAACACCTGTTGCTCCCTTAGTTAAATGTTGGTTCTTGTGAACAGTCGTGAGGGATGTGTGGGCATCAGTTTGTGTGTTGTAGGAAGAGCTGAAGTGATGATGTAAGGGCTTTATTCTACAATTTCCTTCCTTGTCCTCCATAACTGTTTTGCAATGGAAAAATGTTGTTTTACTCAGTGCAGATTGCAGTAGCAAAAGGAGGAGTGCTCTTCATTTCCTTCAAAATAAAAATCTTAAGCCACCTGTCAACTAAACTTGGAGGAAAGATATGGAGATGGGAGAAGAGCCTGTACTCAATGTTTGTGTGCATGTAATTGTATAATATTTTTTTGTGTGTTTTGCTTTTAAAACGCATTCATATTCTCATCAGAGTCAGGGTCACAGCAGTATCTTTCCAATACTTATACTTAGAGAAATTGTTCACGTTTTCTCTTCTTTGAGTGATGTCAACACTGATTCCAGGATTAGACTCCCTGCAAAATGAACATGAAAGAGCCCCCAGCGCAGTCAGCTGAAGCAGCCTCTGAAAGCAGTGATTTCCAATAATCCAGCTGGCTCTGTGCTGGCACAGATGGGCAGCACTGGCCTGCCGGCCGCCTCGGCTCAGCTGTGGGCCCTGCAATAAGCGTCCTGCATTAGCGATATTTCAAACTGCTGCAGTTCTTTCCTGAAGTGGTCATTGGTTTTACACTCTGGGAGGTTTTTACTGCCCGCTGTATTTCAAGATATACTGTAATTAATCACCTTGGAACGATTGCTGTTAACATTTTTAGCATTTATCACCAGTTAGCAGTTGATGAGATTTCTGTTCCAGTGGAAAGAACGGACGCAACTCTTTTGGAAATGTGTGGTAAGGGTTCATCAGTGTGGTTAGGTCCCTATAAAAATAACGATACCGAGTGCGTTTTTGTTAATTTGAAATGTCTTTCTGAATACCTTAAAATCCATGCTGTTTTTAAGGAAAACTTTAGTCTTTAATCCTGCATGGCTTTTTTGGAATCGATACTTCTCCTTTAAACATATGTGGTCTTTGGAGACATGCTGGGAAAGATGACCATGCAAACCCAGTGACGATGGTGAAGTTCAGCAGTGTTCTTGAGCAGTACTTGCAATCTCGTTCTGAACAGCGCTGTGAGTCTGCTGTGTCATGAGTGTGAGAAACTTAACATTTTGAACGTGATGGTTGAGATTCTCACCTTCAGCATGATTTTATGGCTAAAGCATTAGGGAACAAATAGAAGACGGACTGCGGATTTCAAGAAATAACATTTGCAAGCATTTGCTCTTTATCTTATCGAGTCAGCCAGCCGCTGTATGTGCCTGCAGTTTACAGGGAGCTCCTCAAATTTGATCAAAAAGACTTTTGAAACTCGGGGTGGATTTCATTATAATCCTAATTGTAATAATTGCCTTTTTAAACTAAGAGAAGCACAGAGTGATGAGATGAGACAGAGAGGGCAAAACAGAAGTAAACATTTCTTTCCTCATGGTGTCCTTGTGAGCATGTCCTTCCTTTCTTTCAGTCTCGCTCTCAGTTCATCCACTGATGCACTGGGTTCCCATACAGTGTGCCCAGGCTCCTGTCGTCCTTGAGAAGTTTCTCCTGTCACCTGAAGGCCCAGCTGTGCCTGTCTTGGCAATCCCAGCCTGAACACCAGGCTCGCTACCCCTCACCTCTCCTGCTTGCTCTGCCCTGGATGCTGAGCTCCTCTCACAGAATCAGAGCAGTTTTGGAGAACGCACAGATCCTTTACAAAGACAGCTTGTTTTATGTGATGGGAATCAAATTTACATATGCCTTTGTTCTTTGTAAATGCTGGGCTGTTGTTTCGATGGGAATAACTTTTCTAACCAAACAGCTGGTAAAATCGTGCGTCACTTTCTGTTCATCTAAAATTCTTGCAAAGCTTGTTAATGTCCATTTATGTACAGCTGGCACCTCCATTTACTGTGTATGTTCTGTAAGATCTGTGCCAGGCTGAAATAAAGGTGGGGAAAAAGTTGGTGCTGTGGTGTTAGGGTGTGCATGAATGGATATGAGATGCTGAAATCTTCTTACATCTCTTGACTAACACATAACGTGTTTTTCTCTTAGACTTGTGTGCACTCATTTCACATATTTGAGTGAAAAGCAGGAAAAAAGTCCCCAGCAACTGTTTTCAAAATACTTTCAGCGTTGGCAGTTGTTGCTGAGCAAAATCTAAAATGTGAAGTCTTTGTGCTTTTGAAAATTAGTGCTTTAGCAAGTGCATGGCTTTGCTTAGCAGGTCTGGCTTTGTGACTAGGGCTGCTGATTTATCCAGTAATGACATCGTGCTGAGGGCAGTTCTGACTAAGAGGTCTTTACAAATGCTGTGCGTTCCAAAGATGTAAACCCTGGCATACGATGCGAAAGGCACTTAGACGGTCAATTATCCTTGTTAGGATCTTGTCCATTATGGCTTGAGACTGAGTGATACAGTGATGTAAAATAAACAGCTAAGAAAATTGAAAGGAGATTGAATACTATGGTCCACCTTTCTTCATTGCCAGTATATCTCACTTTTAATTCTGAATGTGCAAGTCTCCTCACTGTGTTCTTGAACTCCCAATTGTATAGGATTTATGTTTCAGCACGTCCTGGAACCATCTATTTTTGTTTTGTGGCTGCTTTACATTTTAGTAAACCTCCTCCCTTTCATTACAGAAGACCGACATAAAAATAATACTTTCAATATGCTGTTTTTATTTATCTACATTCTGTCATGATATACTTTGATGTAAGTTTTTAATTTTGCTTCAGCTTTCAGCTGTTGTAGCAGTTACTGCTCAGGGTCAGCGATGAGGTTAGCCACAGTAGCACAAAACAATTTCCTGTTCTCACAGCCCAGGTAGCATTTGGATGTGGATTAAATTTTACCACATTTTCCAGTAGCCAGACACAATTATTTCTAATGAGCTTTAAATTGCTTCTAGAGCACGTATTTCCAAACTTAGTGTGGTGATCCATTCAGTGCTAGCGACTTCATAAGACAGCACTTCTTCTTCCGAGCTGTGGTTAAGCAGGTATTTCTAATCAGTGGATTTGCTTACAAGTGGCTTGCTCACTGTTCTCAATTGCTGTTCATCTGTTGTCCTCTCTCCTGCAATGCTGCTTCCATAATATATTGTTCTTCATTACTGACTCGGATTTCATCATCGTTTTCTTTTGGCAAATTTATCTTGGCATTATTCACGCTGCTTGTGCTGTTTTGAGAGGTTTTAATGCACGTTTTGTTGTTCTGGAGGCTTTAAAAATTAGTTTTTGAAGTTCTGCTCTCATCTTTACGATTCATGTTTTCCTTTTGTTTTCCATATATGGCCACTTTGCTATCCTGCCCTGGCATTCTGAACACGTGGAAGGCATACGTTCAAAACTCATCTTTATGGGGCAGTAATGAATAATAAGAAATATGAAAGTGGAAAAGACAAGGAACATTATTTTTCCCTCTATAAATATGGTAAGTTTTCACAACCTCTGTTTAAGCTTACCGAAGTTTGTTGGCTTTTTTTTCAACTTAATCCAATTGACGCTTTAAAACATTATTTGGTTGCATTATTACCAGTGCTGCTTATTGAACTGAATTCTAGAACATGCCCTGCTTAACGGAAACTCAGCCATAAGGAAATCATCTCTGTATTATAGCTCCTACTGTAAAAGCAATTAAGCGAGAGCATGAAAGAGAAGCTGGCTGTCCTGACATGCTCCCACATGGAGGAGGGTTGAGGGAATGAGCTGTGCAAAGAGCTCTGGAGCATATTGCCTGCGGGATTCTGAGGCACGGCGATGTTATCTTCGGTCAGAGCATCCCGAGATGTTTTGTAGCTGGCTTTGTCTTCCTCCTGTGCATGCACACATATTTTTCCTACAGCTCCTTCATCCCAAAGTGCTGAGATGCTGACACTGCCGGCCAAACGCAGGCACTAATTTCCTGTATACCAGTGTCACCCAGTATCTTTAAAATTCTTTCTCTGACCCCTGCAGTGATTTTGTATCATCTTTGAGGCTGAAGGAGCTTGTAATACTTTGCATGTAACATATTGCTGTGGCAAATGCAGGGCAAAAAGTTATATTAAAAATTCTTATTAATTTTGAAACTCAGCCTATTTTTAAGGTTTTGCATTATTCTGTTTCTCCCACGTTAAGGATTTGGCCTAAGCTGTCTTTTTATTTGACTTTTTAATCCTCAGCAGTAACTCTGAAAGTTTGCTGATTGGTTTCTGCAGTTTCCATTCAGACAGGAGCTGTGAATTTCAAATACCATCTAAAAATTCTTTACATCGAAGGTCATTTTTATGATGACTTAATTTCCTTAAATCATTTCTTATAACAATCGTTTATGAAATTGCATTTCAGTGTTCTGCTGTGAGGATTATAAATATCAACGTACCCTCAGTAGCTGTTCTGGACCTGATCCCAAGTCCTTCAGTAAATTCCTCTACGTTCAGTGGTATCCATGGTGCGTGAAAATACTCCCCTGAAGCTCCAGCTAAATGCTACATGTAGAACATTCTTCTTTTTCATCTGGTCAGGCATAGCACCGTACTTGATATTTTTTTTCAATAACTAATGCTAAAACACCAGTCTGTTGCAGCACAGTATCTATTGACTTGTAGGCTGATGGCTGGGGGCACTGGTAACAGGGACCACAAGGTCTCTCACCTCTGCTGCTAATTTGAAATGAGCTGTTCCTACTCTTAGGCCCTTTTAAAATGAGTCCATGAACGCAGAACAGTTCTCTGTGGACTCCGTTCACTTGCAAAAAACAGCTTTTAATCTTGCACTAGTCACTAATTCTTCTCAGTGTTTTCATTAGAAAGGATGGGCACTGAATTCTTCCCTGCCAGAGCTGCCTGGGGTGAGGCTGGGTTGGTGCCCTTCTAGATGGAATGTGTTGTGCTGATAAATGGATTTAAGGCTATAATCATCCAGTGATTTTTTTTGCTTGTTTTTTTTTTATGAAGTAATAAAAATGCTAGAAGACCAGCCCTGGATTAACTCCTGTAATTCATGCTCCGGAGCTAAGGGATTCCTAGGGTTTTTTCCAACTTCCTTCCTCATCGTTCCATTTTTCCATCAACTTCCAATTAATTTCTATATACAGTACGTAGTTGCCTCCTTGACTTCTCTTTCTATCTATTGTTGCATATTACATTGAGTTCTTGAAGGAGCTAGGATTTCATGGTGCCATGGATTGATCAGCTATGGATCAAGTGCTGTTTCCTTGGATTGAGAACTTTGTCTTTTTCTGAAGTTTGGTATCTATTGGTGTTATTAAACGTTTTCAGTAGCAAACTTAGTAGTGCACAAAACCAGACAAGGTGCCCTACAGCACACTTACCTTTCTGACACGTTTTTGTCGTAGCAGTTGTTCACTGGTTTACATAGTGGCTTCCAAACATGGTGTGTGCCTTTCCTCTTCATCTCACGTGCTGACTGGTTGGTTGGTCAACTATTGCAGAATTGGAACTTCCTTAAACTTCTCATTAACTGGACCTGGTCATGTCACAAAGAGGGATAATAATAATAATAATAATGATCTGACTGAAATGTCTTAAATGGGCACCTGTAGGACCTTTATTTTAATTGCATTCCTGATTATATGTAAATAAAAAGTATTGCAGTAAACATATCCAAGTACAGTAGAAGACATTCTTTATATTTTACTGTGTTTAACTTTTTGAAGAGGAGCTTTTGGATGCAGGTCATTCATAGTAGAATGGATCTGACACCATCTCAAATGAATTTCTATCCAGTAGCAGTCATTGGAATTCAGCCTCTTCCTCACTTGCATTATGTTCATGTCTGTAGCCTTCAAGTGCTTATATGGTCATTTTCAGTATCGAAAGCATTTTCATCGTAAGTATTAGTTGTTATTAATTAATTCTAATTCTAAGTGACCATCTTTCCAAGCTAATTTCCAAGTTGATTCTTCTCTTCCCTTCCATAACTCCAGTGATGCCATTCCTACTCTTCCAAATCCTGGCTACTACTTCAAAGTAATCCCTGATTGTACTCCCAGTCCTTTAAGTCTGCTCTTCTGTTAGAACCTGATGGATAAAGTGCTTTGTACTTGATATAGTGGTAAAGAACATTAATGTTTTAAACGGTATTGTGTGCCTTTGTCCCTGTTTGCATGAACACCACCAAGGAGTGATACTTCAGTGTGTATTTTGCCAATTATGTGATGTAAATTTCTGATTTGCAACGATCAATAACGTTAAGAAAAAAATTAAGGTGAAAATTAGCATGGGTAGGAAGGACAGTTGTGGAGAGATTGTTTATTAACAAGCCTAATAACACTTATTTTGTATTAAACAATGGTGGGCGACCTGAGATGGGTGATGTGTGATGCAAGTTTTTCAGCAGTATGTTTGAATTGCCCATTACAGAAGGAAAACGGGCTCCCACAAATACCTCTCTCAGATGTGTTTGGAACTGTGAGCAGTAATGGTCCAGGTCACCGCTGCTCCGTGTTCCAAGGTGCCAGAATCGCCATGACAGCGTGGTTAGATAGCAGGCAAATGAAGCACCTGATCTGCAGACCTTCGTGCTTTTATTTGTAGGAAGTCTTTCAAAAGTACCTGAGTTTGTGTTATTTTCATCTGGTTAGAATTAAAAAGAATGAACTCTTGTTGAGTACTAACAGAGTGAAGACCAGGTTAGCTTCTGCACCTGCCAGGTTTGCCACGGTCAGCGCCTGGTGAGGCTGCTTCATGGTAGAGATGAAGCTCTCAATCTCAGCTTTGTTCATCCAACTGTTTTAGCTCCATTCCATTAATTACTTTTTTTCTAATGCACTTTTCTCATGAAGACAAACTAAAACTGGGATGCTGTGAAAATAAGATGACGTTATGACAAGAGCCTTTAAAAAACTTGGTGATGAAAGCCTGTGAATAATCAGATTTGTTCAGGGCATTGCAGTGGGATCTGCTGTGCAGCTGCACGGTGGATCCAAAAGCCACTATTGCCTGGTAGTGGCAACTGCAAATATTTACAGTTAGCTGTTATTTTTACATTTTAAACATGGATTTTAATTAAAAAGTCATTCCCATCTGTGACTGGTAAAATAGAGGCTTTTGTAATGGACATATTTGTTTTCTGAGGGATATATTTAGTGTGTGTATACATCAGCAGCCATCCCACGAGACCATCATGGTAATGGATCAAAACCAGGCTTTGCTGCAGCATGAGCAACTATAAAACCGTGTGTTGCAGCTCTGTTGCGATGATGAGTTCACGCTGATAGACTCAGCCACGGTCTGGGCGTAAATCAATGGCAGGAATTCCACTGCGTATATTTCAATTTTTGCATATTAATTCCCTGGTGACTTTTAAGTTCTAGTCATGCTTACTGAACAATTCTTTTACTGTAAATGCAGAAACAGTTTTTCCTTCCGAATAGTAATGAAAATAAAGACAAAATATGGGCTTAGATAGTGCCATCAAAATACTGCGGATTTGCAGCTGCTTACAGAATTTTCTTTCTTTCTTTCTTTCTTTCTTTCTATGAAAACAGGTGATCAGATCCTCTCTCTTGGGACTTTGTCAGAAGATCAGGTTTATCCACTGAAACTCAGGGCGTTTCCATCTGTTACTCTGCACTCAAATCTGCCTGATGTGGAAATTATATCTGCTTTGGCTTCCTGGAGTCGTATGGGGACGAGCACTTTGACAGCGTACTTCAGGCCTTTGTCAGAACGCTGCTTTCAGCATCCCACAGTGACTTGCTAGTAAGCAATTGCTCATCTTGGGAGTCTTCTCTTGAAACATGAAATAACACCACCACAGGCTTTATATTGTTATGATGAGACAGAAGGGTCTAGAACAGCTCACATACATTTTCCAGTTACTTGGATTGATTTACATTGAGACACCTAAAATACAGGGGTGATAAAACTGCCCTGTGAAAGGGGAGCTTTACCAGGATTTCCTTTAAGCTTTTGTGAGGAGAAAAAAAAATTTTTTTAAAGCTGAATTTTGTTCTTTTCCATGTTTTGTTCAGAACTGTCATTTTCTTGCTGGAGGAGACAAATTATGGACAGGTAGAGATGGTTAACATCCAAATTTGTGCCTATCACAAGAAGGAAATCCTTACAACTGGAAAAGCTTCTCTCAGTGAAGACCTGTTTATTGGTTGTATCGTGAAGCGCAGGCATTTTGCACGTTCCTAGCCATGCAGAAATACATGTCCTCAACACAGGTCCTTAAGAGTAAGCTTGCTCACTGTGCCAAACAAACAGGCAGGTGCTTTTGCCTGTGCAGGAACTCACTTAAGCACAGAGAATACATCTCTGAGAGAACTTGGGGGAAATCTGTGATAAATCCCAGTGAGATTTCCTGCAGAAGGTGAGATACAAGCACCAGGCCTGTCCAGCTGACATGCTGAACAGCCTGTTACACTGCTTTCACTGGACTGAAGGCTACATCGCATGTCAAAGCAGGGCAATACTATCCAGAGGTGGTTTTAAATTAGTAGTTTATATCCTGTGGTAAATTGGAAAAGTTGCAATTTACCAAGGACACGAAGATATTTTCTCTATGTAAATGTTCTGATTTAATGGCTAAATTACAATTTAACACATCATAAAAATGTGGTCTTCTGTGATCTGCTAACGTCATTAATATCAGTTAATGCAGATGTCCATATTTATTACTAACATATTACTAACTTCTTTCATTTTCAGCAATATCAAAAGCTAAGTCAGTCTTATTACCCACTTTTGGAATGTCTGACCCAAGATCATATGGATTTCATTACCAGCTTAGAGCCTCATGTCCTGATCTGTATCCTCACCTCAGTGTCTGGAGGACTTACTGCTCGAGGTAGGACTTGTTCACACACTGCTGAAGAAGAAATTCTAGGAGTTGAATTACAGTTGTTAGCTGTGGTTAAGGTTTATTTGCACTTTCCAAAGTAAATGGAGAGATTCCCAAAGTAGCTCATACCTTATAGCACGTTCTTTGTATCTTAAACAGGACAGCAAACGTCAGTGGAAGGTTTTGAACATTTTACGAATGTGTCTATTTTGGTTAACAGAGATGAGTTATTTTGAACATCTAACCTGTCGGTTACTATAGTGGTATTTTTAAGTTATCCTTTCTTAAAAACTGGAATGGCTAAAATTATTAAGGTGCCTCTGGTGGGACAGCATTGAAAATTCATGCATTTGTTACTCAGAAGTAAAATATATTTGTCAGTACGTGTACAGGAATCTGCTAGGGTTTGTTTTTATTTGCTCAACATAGCTGTTGTATAAAAAAATGCTTATTCTGCACTGCTGTGATATGATTGGGGGAGTTTAAAGATATCTTCGTAAGTGGAAAAAAGAAATGAGATTTTTAATTATTCAGTACTTCTTGGATGTGCTTTAGAGTAGAATCAGAGTAACAGGAGCATACTTGGAGTAACAGTAAAAATGCAGCAGTCTGATTGCAGTTAATTTTATTCTCTTGCACAGTTTATTCCGTGTTCTTTAACCAGATGACGATCTGAATTTTTGGGGTTCTGGTGGGTTTTCTTTTTTGGTAGCTTAAATTCATTTGGAATACAGAAGAGAAGACTGGGCATTTGGGAGAAGAAAAAATACGTAGTTGTGTCCTGATGAGCTGAGAATGCCATGCATTTGTATGGTGTTTGACTGAGAAACTCTCTAAAACCCTACAGTAGTATGTATTGATTAGGGTGGTTATTAAGGGAAAAAATAGAAACGTGTAACATTAGTGTGTATGGATGTTGCTCCATAATAGCTAGCGTTTCTCATTACTGCCAAGTGTCAGTCAAGCCCCACAGGAATGCATGAATGCACTGAGGCTCACAAAGCATTTGCTATGTTAAACACATTCAGCAGTTTTTGCTGCAAGAGGGAAACCACTCTTCGCAAGAAAATGGGTAGTGAATAGCTAAGCAACAGCAGTAAAGTAGTATTCAGGTCACTTTATTATATAATGCTGAAATCCATCTTCTCCCAGATATTTTGAGTGCTTTGTCACCTGTAATGATGGTACAGCAGTTTATGCCTATGGGCTGGTTCTGCTGCGAGGCTGCCTGTTGATTGTGTGCAAATGGATGTGTTGTACTCAGTGTTTGTTTGACAGACAGCTGCCAGTTTAGCCGTGTTCCTCATCCCCGCTATTACTCCACACCACATCTCTTCCATTTGAGATATTGGATATATTCATTTTAATAATTCACTACCATACCAGGTTTACTTTAACCGTCTCTTTGAAATCCAATTTGAATTCATGTAAAAGAGAAGAGCACTTAAAAGCTATATAAGCTTCAGCCTTCATGTGCTCCGTTTACTTTCCCCTCTCAAAAGTGTTGATCTCCTTCTCGAGGCAGACAGGAGGAGTAAGACAAGTGTCTGTTTTCAGTGGTGGTTGTAAAGTTTTGTGCTTTAGGTATCCGGGAGTTGAATCATGAGGAATGACTTTTAGGAATGCTTTCTTTTCTGAAAAAAGTATCAACAAAAAATTTAACTCACCTTTTGTAAACCGTACATTGCTTAGCCAGTGTGTTCATTTCACCTTGAAGCACCTAAAATAAACACAAATTGCAAGACTGAAAGTATGTAGGCTTGTGGGGTTTTTTAAACTTCACTGAAGCTCCATGCAGCCCATCAGAAGCTGTTGTTCTTTGCGTTCATTCTTTTTTCTTTCTTCACTCTGATTCCCTCAGAGCCATTTTCCATCTTTGACGTGTGCCAGGTCTGCCTGTCAGTCAGAGCCGGCTGTTTGCATGTTGCCTGCAGAGGATGTGGAGCCTCTGTCCTTGAAGATATTCCCAGATGTCTGGAGCAACCTGTCTGATTTTGGCCCTGTTTTGAGCAGGAGCTTGGACTGCAGGGCTGGTCCTGCTTGGTTCCTGCCACCACCTTTAGAATCCCACCATATTTTTCCTGGACTTTCCACTCGTGTTCTCTGGTTTTCTAAAACAGTTCTTTATTCTACCTATCTGCCTATGCAGCCCTTCACCTCTGTGAACGTTTCTTACACGTTAGAAGTAATTATCACTTACCATAATTGGTCAGCTAGAAAACGCTTCTTGTTTTACTTGTTGTGTTGGTTTGATGAAGGGATTATTTTTCCTTGGTATCATGCTTCTTAACACTGAGTGTTTCAACAATTGGTGCTGATGTGGACCATTGCATTCCTCATTTATGTTCCAGAAGTTTTACTTAAGTACTGCGTGATTTTCCCACACTCCACAGTGCCACGTCCAGCTGGACTCTCTTTGGTGAGTTTGCAGCATTTTGGTATCATCTCGGAGTTTGTTACCTCTGCACTTTCTTAAGATTCATTCTTCTGTCTTTTATCCCTTCTAAAATCTTGGTGTTTGGAGCATTTCCACTTGTCAGTATAGTGAAATACAAATTTATTTCTTAGGTGTTAGTTGATTACATGCATCCTTCCTGCCCTTAGCAAATAGGCAAGTAAGTCTATCCAGGTATTGCCTCTTACATCAGGGGCATAAGAACATTGTCGGAATAGTAGGGCTCAGGGCTATAAATCATCAGGGAGGTCATTGTATTCTAAGCTGATTAGAAAGTATAAGTCATCTGCAGAAATGTTTATAAAAACAAAATAGCTGGCTTTTTGTTTTAAAAATCAAATACTGGGAAATCTCCTCCATTTGACAGCAGAAAAAAACCCTTATCTGCCTTTTTCTCTATTCCCTTTACATGTGTGAAAGCTTTGAGATTCTCACTGTTGTCAACTGTAGGATAAACATTCTCCAAATCCTTATTTCTGAGGAGTGCTCATTTTGTTTCTGAGTAAATACCTTGCTTGATTCCACACTTCATAAATACTGTGAAGGAATATGTATTCCTTTGGAGGGCCCTAGCAGTAAATCAGCTGTAATGGAAGCCCTCATCTAAGCTTTTATTGCAAGGATAAACACTCCAATAGTTCTCTTCTAAAGTGTTTACCTGGCTTTTTCACAGCTGACTCAGTGGATCAGAGCCTTTTAATGTAGTCCTCCTGGCATACTGTCACTAATCTCTGCAAAGCTTTTCTAATTCTTGTATGATTAATAGTGTAGTGTGCTATTCATTGAGGAAAAAAGCAAAACATTTTTTCTGTCTTGCTGCCTAATTTAGATGTTAAATTGCTAAATCCATTTACTTTCTAGGTTTAGTCTCAAAGGCAAATAATGCCAGTATTGAACTGCAAACAATTGATGGACGGGGAAGATATCACTTAACTCCCTTTCCTTACCTTTATGTGAAAAACGAAACAAAATCTTCTAATTTGCAGAGATTCAGTAATGTCATTAAGCTGTAAAGAACTAATTCCCCTTCAGCATGCTCTGTTCATATTGTTTACACCAAAAGTTGCTTGGTTTCTTTGTTTGCTTTTTCTTAAATAACTCATTCTAACATACAAACTCTATTTCCACTTACTTGAGCTAATGGATAATTGGAATTGCACACATAATGCAAAAACATGGATGTAATTAAAGGAAAAAAATGCATGTGAATTCAACATTGCTAATGTCAAATAAATACATGCTGGCAAAGAAGAAACTAAAGGAGCCAGGTTAACATGATGGTGACCGACACCAGAATTGTCATCCCTGTCTCCTCACCAGCACCAGCACCTATCAGCAAACTGGCTCTCACTTGGTTTTGCCTGCCAGGGCTGCTGAAATGCTGCTGGACCCCAGCTGCACACGTGGGGCTGGTTCTGGCTGTAGCCACATGCTGTAACCACGGCCTGCTTGCTTCCCAGTCCAAATGATCAGTTCACAGACAGTAGAGCTGAGTTGACCAGAAATGAGAAATGTGGTTTGACTGCATTTTTTCCTGATTACTCCAGGCTTTTACCTCGGTGTCTTTTATTATTCTATCCTTATTATGTCTTCTCCATCATTTCTTCTGACCATCGCCTGGAATCGGTAGCTCCTCGTTGCTCTTGTTTGTTCTATTTATTTGGTTGCCTTGCTTGTCTCACTAAGATTTAGTGAGAGAGCTCTTCTGCTCCAGCACAAGGTTCCACATGCCCAGAAGAGTCATTCAAGGGAGTTTGCTTGACGCTCCCTGTCTCTTATATCCTTGCAATCAAAAGGAAAAATGAGCATAGGGAAGCATATTTGATATATAGTTATGGGCAAATTTAAGTAGCTCTTAACACTCATATCAGATTCTCACGAGCAAATGATAGCGTAGACCTGTCTGCTGTCCTGCTGAAATCACTTACTGTCGAATGTAAAATATCTGCTTGTACAGTATCAGCATGTTTAGAACTACTGCTGTTTTGTAAACCGATGATAGTGATTTACTTTGTATTATTCAATTTAAAAAGAAATAGAGTTAAGCACTGGTTTAGAAATACAGCAGAGCCCTCCTATGAAATATGTATTTTCAAGTCTCTCACTTGTTATTGATGGTGATTCAATTCCACTATGAATTGCATTTCTAGTTTATATGCAGGACCGTTCTGGTTGAGAACACGGTGAGTGCCAGGTTCCAGTCTTTACTTTGGCAAGACTCGTAACTGTGAACTTGGCTTTGTGTGGGTGACATTTCTTCAGATCCTGCTCCATCGAATTAGGTCCTAGTAAGCCCACACGGCCAATGGAGACCAATGGAGACTGGAGCTCGTTCCTGTGAGCTGGTTGACAGATTTCAGCTCCTGCTGCTAAGTCAGCCAGTAGCTTTGGAGGATCAAGTCTTAGGACACCTTTTGTAGCTTCATTGCCAGCCAACATTTCTTCAGCATTTATTTCTAAACAATTGTAGCAAAATGCAATTGGTTTATAGATAGCAAAGAGTTAATAGTGCCAGCACAGAGCTTAAGGAGTTAAGCAAGCACAGATCAAAATACTTGGGTGTCCAGAGGGATGTGTTTAAATGAACGCTGCAAGGCTGGCAGGCCTCCAAATTAGCGTAGTTTAAAGAATTCAAGGTACATTTAATTGGATCCTTCTAATCCCTTTTCCCTCAGAATGAGCATTTTAACAGTTTAATTCCTTTTGCAACCCCCACACATCTCTTACTCCAGTGGCCCATCTAAAATAAATGCTGTGAACTATGAAAGGCCCGGACAAGTTCTAGCTGAAGTCAGTAGGAGCTGGATGGGGGCCTAAACGCCCCGCTCACTTGGATTTGACATTTGCAGTTGTAGGGTTATCAGCTCTGGCTAAAGCTTGCACCCAGCACGTGAAAGCACTGTGGGCACAGAGGGAGCTTCAGCTGGTGGCGGCACGATGAGGGCCAGCAGTGGTGTAATAATGTGTCTCTGACCAGGACTGCAGCACTGGAGCTGGGCACGGCTCAGCTCTCTATCTCACAGCCACTGGTCTGGGGCCAAGGAGCATCTCAGATGTCAGGCCAGGAGGAGACAGCAGCTGGGAAAGGGGAAAGGGCTCACCTCTATGGTCAGGAAGAAGGCCAGGAGAGCGCTTGAGAAATGAGGACCAGCACACTGCCATCACCACGCTGAGGCACAAAAGTGAACAGAATCCTCTTTCGCAGCAGCAGCAGCACAGCAGGCAACACCTAGCAACAAAATAACTTACATAAATCAGGCAGACATATTTACTCTGCAAATAGGTTTATGCACTTAATCTCCCTTACTTATAGAAACATTGAGTAATGGTATGAAGTGGCTTTTGCTTCTGCTTTTCAGCAGTGTCCTTGCTGTCGTGACTTGCTGTGTTAGGGACATTTTTGAACTGTTGGTTAGTCACTGCAGAGGTGTTGTTGAAAGCCAGGTGTAATATGTCTTAATCTCCTTGAATTGCTAATTGTTAATTGGAGTGACCACTTGGCTGCTCCGTGCTCACCGTCACTACGTGGTGTGGCCTCTGTCTGTTATTTCCCACCTGACTTTGACTGTAAGCTCTTGGGGGCAGAGAAACGCTGTGCTGCTCAGGAAAAAGCCAGAGAGCAGCTCTACTGATTGAATCTCACTCCTTCAGTAAGTGGATCAAAACAGAATGTTGGGTTTCAGAAGCCTGAAAGGTTTAATATGGCAAAGGTTTCATACCATGCGTTGTTGAAAGTAATGTTCAAAACTGATCTCAGATACCAAAACCAGGCGTGACAGTGTATCATTTAGGCTAACGTCAAATAGATTTTTAAATCTGAGCTCTCTGAGTACTGTAAAATGTAATTATTTGTTATTTCATGGAAAAGAATTCAAGACCTTTTGTTTTTTACTCAGCTACAATCGCCTCTTCCAGCTGTTGTGCCAGTTTAGACTACATTGTCACGTCCCTCTTCAAGCACGTAGTTTAAGAGGGCAGCAAGGCTCCGTGATGTACAGAAACTTCACAGGATGAACAAAAATTGTTTAATTTCATGCAGCATAATCCGAAAGTGCTACAGCAGGTGAATTACTGGATTTTTCTTTGCGGTATTATCACATTTAGGAATATTCCTGATTTCTGAACCCTTTGTTACTGCACACCAGGGTAGCATTGACAATTCAGTAGCAGAGCAAATCTCCCTAGGCTGGCATGCAACCCAGGGCAGCTTCAGCTGTGTTCTCATGACAACCAAAGGCTGAAGATATTTTCTGTCATACTGGAAACCATAGATGCTTGGCTGTACGGTATCTTAAAACTTTGTGTTCCGTGTTCGTTCCTAAAATGAGGTGTGTTAAGATAATCATTGCATTTCTATTTTTACAAAATGGTAAGGGAAGTTCTCTGAAAGTGTTGTAGGAGCATTCAGCCACACACTTCCATAATGAAATGTTAAATTGAGTAGCTGTATACTCTTGAGTGCAAATGCTTTATTTCGCAGTAGGTGAGTCATGGATTTTTCAGTTAAAGGTGAATACAGTAGAAATTAAATCCCGTGCTTGTGGAAAGGAAGTGATTGCTGCAGCGCTCAAGAAAGATTTCCCCTTCCCACTTCAGTCCAGCTCACCGTAGCCTGCGTGCATTAAGAGAAGATGAGGATGTTCTTAGCTGTGTATCTTCTGATTTGCTCCATGCCACGTTCCCTTGAAATCTCACTCAACTCTGGGGGCATGTGTGTTCACCACACTCGGTGGATTCCTCTTGCAGTTGCAAAGCTGCTGTTTCAGAAGCCGTGTTTCACTGGAAGCTTTTAGCCAATACAGAAGTTTATTAACAAAATGCAAATATCTGTGGTCATCTTTCTGTTGCCCTAATAGATATGCTGTCATTTTGGTACAAGCTGGCACACAGTCGCCATCACCACGTGGTTCTTGTTGCATTTGTTTTCTAGTCTTAATTGAAGGTGAAAAGTAACTAGTATGTCC